ACTCATTATGCCGCTGTCGCTTTCGCACGTTTCTCAAAGCTGCACCTAACCTGTGGCGCATATGCCGTGAGGCATGAAGGTTTGTGTATCAATCCTCAATTGATCGTTACTGCACTCGTGTAATCGTACCATGATTCGTTATAGCGTTCACGTTATTGAGGACATAGTGCATACATTTAATGTTCTTTAATGCATTTCATGGTCGCTAAATGCGTTTGACGCGAACTTTCCCAGCGCAGCCTTTTCTTTTGCCATCTAATTGTCTATAAAACTTTTTAGGGATGTCCGGAAATATTTCTGCAAATAGTTTGAGGTAAATTGGGCACCCACCGCAGGTCGCTACACAAAACACATACGTAAGCTTACTTGGTATCGTGAATGTCTTAAAACAATTCGCAGATGTGACTTTCGCACAATTCTCCCAATCGTCTTCGCCCCTAAAATCTCTTACGAATAATGCTCCTCAAGCTGTCAGCAATGCAGATCCGGCTGTATCAGTGTTTTATCTGCCCGGCGGTTAGAGTGCTCGACGCGTGGGGCAGGCAGTCGTCCAAGATGCTGTGCCCACTGCCCGCGCCCCCCCTTCCTCCGCCGCCCGCGAAATCCGAGCTATCCCGGTTCGCCGTATGGCGCCCGTCACCGTTCGTCGCTCCGCCAAACAACCAGGCCGTGTTTGCCCTGCCGAGCTATTCTGGGCGCCGCACTAAAGGCCGCGATGCGTCGCGGGTCGCGAGAAACAAACCCACAGAAGCAAGCGACCGCAGCTAGCAAAGAGGCCTGCAGAGAAAAGAGAGGTCCGAAAAGAAGCTCCGGCAAAATGACGCGCAAACTTGACCAGGATAAGGCGCCTCGTTGATAAAATGAAACGGACGTTGCGTTAACGAAGGTGGCTCAGCCTCGTTTAATGAACTGAACAGCCTCGCTTAAATGAATGCAAGAAAGTTGATGATAGTATGTGTTGAGCCTGTTGCGTATTTTCATTGCGAAGCTTCAGTAACGACAATAACAGGTTCCATTCGAAAGGATTGTTTAGTTTCTCAGACCGTGGTTCCGTTTGAACTTTGTACTGAAATATGTAAGCAAAAAAAAAAAAAAACCCGATCCAGGGCTGCAGATATTCGCCTTAGCGACAGCGGATTTATAAAAATAAATCTATAGCGAATGGATTAATTCATGGCCATTTAACCTCTTCTAAATGTATCATTTAGCCCATTAATTCAACACACTTAAAAAAAATTGAGTTCGTCGGCTTCATTTAACTGATCAAGATATCTTAAAAGCAAACAAGACGCCCCTTTCAGGCTAATCTAAAAACTCGCTCCTCGCTCATTGAATTTTGGAATAGCTCTAATACGTTGCAGTCCAGATTGGCTGTAATTTTCCCCATATTTACGGATAATGTTGCTGAATATACTAGTACTGTGGAATGAAGCGTACCTCTTAAATTATTAATTACGCAATATTACTCAAGCATGCCAGCCGAAACGTTTCCCCGACTAAATATAGCTGTAAACAGCTTCCACGTTCATCTAATGAATTTGCCTACAAGGGTTGTTTTATTTTCTAGAATTTAAAATGTCATGATCAGTATCAAGGTTGTCATTATATATCGTTTTCAGTACATTTTAAGGCTAAAGCTTAAAATTAGGATTAATAAATATCACAAAAGTCAGGTTGATGTTTGAGTTTTTAGCACCAAACCAAATGATCTCCTAAGTGGGCAAATATAAATAACATGTATGCCTGCCCTAAGCAAATTTTCGTATCTATGCATAAAACTTGGCAGTTATCACTTTTTTATTAGATTTAAAAATTTTTGAACCCTGGTGGATCTAGGAGAATCCTCCCCAACATTATTTAGTTTGTTCGATGCCAAGGGGGATTATCCGCTGAATATAATATGCTTTATTTTGATTCTTTTTAAATTTACCGATTTAGATTTTCGCCAAGAAAGTCCGCACTCCACTAATATACTTCTTGTGCCGTGACTTGTATTTCACGCGTGCACATGCATATGTATGTACGTGCCCGCCAGAGTTCGAACAGTGTCGCCAACACTGCGTCCGCCTGACCTTCTGGGCCTGGCTGACGCCCGCGGTCGCCCCTCTCCCTTGTGCCGCCAGGCTGTCGTGCGCGTGCCACGGCGACCAACCCACATCTGGTGCGTGAAGACGCGCCTGCAGCTGGACTTCGCGCCGCAACGGCCCAGCGCATGACGGACAGTACGCAGTGCGATGCCCAGGGCGTCGCATCTACCGCCCAGAAACGTGAGGTGCCTCTTTGGGCGACGCCTGGCCATCTTTTTTTTTATTTTTTATTTTTTTAAAAAAAAGCTTGTTGTTGTTGTCTGGCTTCCTCTTGCTGCCGCTCCCGCCTGGGTGGGTGGGCCTTGCTCTTCTAGTGTGGAATGCTGTGTGGCCGAACCAGCCCCGCCGACGCTAAGCCGCCCTCCCGAGCGACGTGTAGACCCCCCGCCGGCCTGGCCCTGACCGCCCCCCGCCTCTGTGCCACGCCCCCTGCCCGTGCGCGATGCTGCCACCCCCCACCCTCGCCCCCAATGAGCTTACTTCTTTTGTTTGGTTGCGCCTTTGTTTTGTGTTATCGGCCGCCGACGCAGCACCTAGCCGGCGCCGTCCCCTCCCCCTCCTCCCTGCTTGAGGTGCCCGCGCCGCCGGCGAGCCAGCCTGCGTTGCCCCTGAACCCAACAAGGTTGCGTATTGACATTTCTGATGGTAGCACGAAGCAAGTCCAGTGTCTGCAGATTTTTTTTTTCTGTTTATTTTCTATATCGGTGTTTGGTTTTATTTGGTATGGCGATCTAAATTAGATCGTGCATGGCGAAATGTACCTAACAAAAATCTTGTTGCTCAACTCAGACATGAGTTTATCGTGTTGAAGATAACTTCGCCGTCGTAGCTGGTGTGTCACATGTAGTGTTTGAGATAACGAGACGGCGAGACAGCGTTTCTTTCATAGATTACTCGGGGGTCTTTACTTAAGTCAGCAGGATTCATTAACTCGTAGGCGTAACAAGTTTTCCTTTTCGTTGCGGAGAAACTGTGTTAAGAGATTCAAAGAATACGAATTGCGCGTTTCATCTGCGGAAATTACGTTGATATAACTTCTTCAAATTTTTTACGTGTTTCTTTTTCTTTAATTTGTTTGCTCCCGAAGTCTATTTTTCTATTTTATAAATTAGTTTGAACCTCTGGAGTGTCAAATAATACAATAATAAATAAAATAAGTACAATCTTGATTTTTTTCCTGGCTAATTACCCATTCTGCATAAATATTGCCATCCTTTGAAAGTGACTTACGAGTGAATACACGTATTTGTGTGGAAATGTTCTAGCACATATTGTCAAACACGTGCGAACATCAGAATTGCCGAAATGCCACCTAATTTGAATGAAACTTGTGAATGAGAAATGAAAGAGTTTGGAAAGGAAGCTGACTGTTATAATCGGAATTTAATAACAATATCACGGTTCTTGATCGTGGTTCAGGAGTTCCATCAAACGGGTGAGAACGATGGCTCCTGAACCTGAATAAGAGAACAGTGCGATTGCATGCAGCATTTCAATGATATCCTTTGAGGTTTCGAAGGTGCCATTCATGAGAAGGTTTGCAAACTAAACTGGTGAATTCATAGCTAGTTTTCTACGTAATCGCGGGTTCCTTCTCCTCCCAATTTCTTTCGTCCAATAAATTGTACGAAAGAACTGCTAAACCTAAAAAACATTTTTTTTTCAGTTTGTTTTATTTTTTTTATTTGAAATCGGATGTCTTTCTTTCCCATGTAGTTTGACGTGCTTTCTGATAGGTGGCATCTTCGATTATATTTACTCCGCTCTATTTTATCGTGCGTCAAGGTTCCAAAAGCGGCATTGAGGAGTCTGTATATAATGGGGTAGAGTGTTGATAGTAGATACTTGCACTGAATGTTGCATTGAGTGTTGATAGTAGATACTGCTCTTCTTGGAATAATGAAAAAAAAAATCACATGAGCTGCAGTACTACCAAGGGATAGTTTTTTAAAAAAACAGGATGGTATCGAAAAAATGTTTAACGTCTTTGGGAGCACTTTGGAGCTCACTGACGAGGAACCGAGTCGTGATACGTCCTCCTTATTGGCTGTATGAGGAAGGGTATTTAAGTAAAACAAGTTGAGTTTAAATATTGCATTGTAGTTGTTTTACATTCCCCTATAAAAAAATACGTAATTTATTTTCGTTTGTACGTGTTAGTATACTGTGTTCTTCAATTTTAGAGGGGGATAGTAACTAGTGTGAACGTCGTAATAATTGTTTTGAGTAGTTGAAACGATATAACTTGATAATTTGGAGAAAATGTACCATATCGATAGGTAATAGCCCTTTCGTGGGCGAGGGGGTCCTCGTCCGTATGTGTGAGCTTTGGGTTTCCGGAAGTGCGTTGCTCCTCGATGTCGCTTTTCGGGCGCTGGCGCCTGCAGCTGAGGCCGCTGGCACGCTCTCCGCCGCTCTCCGGGCGCCTCCCCCCTCCTACACTCCCCGCCCCCCACCCCCACCTCACCCGCACAGCGCTTGGATCCTCCCTGCCAGGGTACGCGACCGTTCGATTCTTAAATTATTGTTCATCGAATGCTGAGCAATACAGTTCATACTGAATAAATTAATTCTCATGTGCACCGTATTTGTGCATTGAATATGTTTACATAATGTTCTGTCTAAAACGTTTTGAAATTGTAATGAAATATCACTGGGTTTCCAAAAAAGACATAATAGGGGGGTCTCGCAAAATTGTGTACTGATTGCAGAATCGTTTATGCTTGCTTACCTTATCAGCTCTCGACAAGTCTCGTGATTTAGGTCACACGTCGTCTTTGATTTATTTCTTTACTACATTACACATTCTTTCAAAACAATAAATTACTAGTAATACGATGAAAATTGTCAAAAGTACATTCCTGTCGCCTCAACAGACTCCGGCAGTCTCGAGGCGCACTTTTTTTCAATATCATGAACGACAGTGCTGTTTTTAGAATCGGTGACACTCCTCTGTAAGTTTCCAACTCTTTAAGCATTGGCTGAGCTCATTTGAAGGCGCCTGCAAACCTTAGGACTGAAAGTTGTCACGTCAATTTCCTGCATGGAAAGTAAGCACGAGATCTCTCGTCAACAAAACCCCGAACTGTAATGATTGTCGGAATCCTGTCCTCACCTCTACATCTTCTGGAGATAGAATACTCCGAATTACGTTTCTAATATAATAGTTGCGTGTTTTGAGTGTGACCATTACTTGCTACATAGTAACTGAATTACGTGTGTTGTCATGAGAATGTACTGACTAATAATTACTAATTAAAGGAGTGCCCTTTCCTCCCAATGATCCTTGTTAGGCCCTCGCTTCGCCACGGCAGCGAGGGCGACGGCGACGCCGAGAGAGGCAAGGCAGGCAGGCAGGCGGGGCGGCGAAGTCCCGCCTTGGGTCCTCGGGCTGACGAGGCGTGCGCGCGGCGGTTCCGCGTAACCTGCTCGTGTGTGTGTTCTCCGCGCAAGCATCGACCGCGCGGGTTCGGTAGATCGAGAGCTGAGAGCGATCGAGCAGAGAGAGCGAGCGCGCGCTCTCGCACCGATCGTCGCTCGGTCCCTCTTCTCTCCTCCTTCGCCTCCTGCGCGGCGGCGGCGGCGCCGACGACGACGAGGGCTGCAGCGGCTAGTCTTGGACCTCGGGAGAGCCCTCTGCCGCCGAGAGGATGAGGCGCGGCGTGGCCCGTTGCGGAGTCCGTCTCCGCTCCGCTGCGCAGACGCCCCCGCACCCGCTCCCGCTCCCGCTCCCCGCCCCGCCGCTCCGTGCGGATCGGGCCGGGCCGAGCCGGGCCGCGGGCGCCGAGAGCCCCCGACGAAAGGTGACCGCTTCGTCCCGCGCCATGGGAAACGGCCTCCCCGCCCTAGAGCGTACGACCGATGCCCCGCCTCCACCGCCCCCCGACACTTGACCTTGACGCGACACTGGACGTTGTCTGCGGGTGATCAGACCATTGGCACGCCAGGTCTGTACTCTGTGCCCTCTGGACCATTATAGTGAGTGTTGCGGGCTCGGAATTGGATCAGATCAATTCCTGCCACTGCTTTCAAACGTTCACTTGACTCTGTCTCCCATTAAAATACCTCCAACAATAGCAAAATTTCGAGGCAACAGAACTGTTGTTTCATGTGTATTATTATCGAATCGGATTGATAGCAAATTTTCTAACGTTGCATTTGCAATTTGATTAAAATAATCACATTTAGTGACTAGAATGTGTAACATTAAAAAAAAAACATGTTAGAATGGGTCAGAACTATTCCACTCATTTCCGAAGTAATTGGGAACTAAAAATGTCTAAAATATTTCTAAAATCAATAACTTATCAAAATTAGAAATCCAACTATCGAAATTATTTCTTACGTCTTAGATGTAGATGTATTGTCTTCAAAATCGCATGTATATTGTTAATTTTTTATGATTGAATGAAAATGAAACGTAACAAATGCTGTAATACCACACTACGCAGAGAAATGAATCGACTATTAAATACTATCGTTTTGGTTAACATTTTCTCATATCACCATGTTTTGGTTGAATAACAGTTCAAAATTCGTAACATGTCCCAACATACGTATAATATCTGTATTGTATCTTTAAGAAACGTATATTTTGAGATGAATTTTGATACTTCGAAAGGTATTTATAACTTAAAATGTTTTAAAAATTCACTGCGTAATAACATTTTTAATTATCATTCTGTGAAAAGACGAGATCATTCAATAATCCAGATTATTTTAAATGTTTTTTATCGAGTTATGAAGGTAAAAAAATCAATGGCTTATCAAAAGAGAGTAATGGAACAAGTCTATCGCCATGTCTATACCAGGTGGCGCGTCGACAAAAACATTCTACGTCACAACAGCATCTGGCCGACCAAAGAGGTTGATGCGGCGCGTTAATTAGGCCTTGTCATTTTCGTTCCCTCATCACGGATAATATCTTATTCGTCAGTAGTCTTGACCACAATGATAACATGATTACAATATTATTTTGTATTAGTCTCACAATTAGTATTTCACATTTTGCAATTCAGTGCACTTAGTGACAGAGTAAATTTAGTGCTAATAATGAACTTTGTATAGTTTATTGAAATAAAATAAGAGACTAAGAAGTTTGAAATAAGAGTATTGGAGGATACGCTCCTCCCTAGCATTGTTTTCAAATCATCCGAAACCTTTACCTCATTATTTTGATTGGAAAAGCATGTTGGGACATCACTTTTGTTCAGAACTAACAAAAACGTTTCCAGGACTTTAACGCAAGGCAATTATTCCTTCTAGTAATACAGCCCATACAATACTTTAGACGTAATTAAACGTACGTGCGACAAAAAATATTTGTTTTTTCATGAATCGTTTAGCGAAAACCCATTTCTTAAAAGGTTCCTACTTACTCTCACTGCCATGACTGTAATATTCTTGACAGAATTGATGCATATTCGAGCTCCATCCCTCATTCACGACAGCTCCGTATTCTCTAGTGGAGGCGGCTTCCCATGGCTCTAGACAAAGCAAAGTCCTTATACTATGGTTCAGAGATCATCGATGGTTGTTAACAAGAGTTGCTCATCAATCAAACAAGTATTGTCACAATATTGTAAATGCATTAATGTGTTAATTGTTTGTAAACTTTCATTTGTAATGTAATACTTGTTCTAATAATTTGTGATAGGTAGCTTGCAATGTTATTACTTGCTTACTTAGATACTATTGTATTAGTATTGCAATGTTAGATCATTTATGCTATTGTAATGCTTCAATTGTCAAAATATGTATTTTTATATGTAAATTATGTATATAATTACTGTGTCAGTTGTATTGTTCAACTACTGCTTTCCTTGGCTTGTGATTGCAGAATGCTTGCTTTCATAGATTCCCATTGATACATTTCTGATGCATCACTATCTCTGAGTTCTAATAGGAAGGATAACGTGTTGTTGTTAAAATGAATAATTTTCCTTATATTATATAACTGAAAATGGAAATATTTCGGTTCAACATCTGAGCGTTAGTGTATCACGCTAAAGTTGTGATAATGGAGAAGATTCCAACATCAAGCATATGTTAGATGTTCAGTACTGTAAAATAGAATTATAATCCTTTCCTCATTATGGAAGTAAAGAGCTGGAGTAAAAGCTGGCAAGTATGTAGTACACGTTGTGATCAAGATAATAGTTATAAAAAGGCGTGAGTAAATACAACAATTTAGAATATTACTAATCGTGTTATAAAATATCACGTGTGTGCTCCTTAGTGTTTCGATATTTCAACGTTCATGGAATTCTATAAAAGGTCTAGTTTCATAGATCCAAAGTTACAAGTTCGATCACGCATGAAAATATGAGAAATACGAACATTCTATATAGGAAAGCTTGCCATGTGTCTCGGTCATTGCATTATTCATCGCAAATTCATAGTACTTTTGATGAGAGAATGAGAAAATCTCCCTAATGCAGTCCACCCGCTTGATGTGGCTATGAAGCTGTTTAAAAGCCTGCAATCGCTAATGAAACAAATTCTCGACAATGTTGATATCCGTTCTTTCACATTAATTTAATTCAATACCAGTGTGATTCTCAATTGTAACTAAACATCGGTAGTAAGGACTGAAAAGAAACATCGGTTTAATGAACCAGATTGCTCGTATTAAGGTTTGGTTGTCTTTGGAGTGGGTTATATTCACATTTTAAAACTGGAATAAATACAGTACCGTTTGTTTCAGTCTAAATGGCTCTCCAAATTGGCATTGTGAAATACCTGTTGATGGTTACTGTATATTTTTATACTTATTCATGTCGCTTTTCAACTACCAAGGCCATATAGTGATCACTGTAATCAACATTGCGGGTAATTGTATACGGACACAGACCAACATCCATGCCCCGAATGGGATTCCAACCGGCGACCCTTCAGGCACAAGGTAGCTACGCCTCTTCAGCATTAAAGACTGTCGGCTATCGACACCGGCGGGAACTTTATTTTACTCTCCTTTTTTATCTTTACTGTTTTCCATTCTTGCCTTTGTACGGCTGGATGCCCTTCCTGACAGCAACCACAGGGGCCACACAAGCCCATTACTCACAGACAACACACACAACCATGCCTGAGGTGGGATTCGAACCCACGATCCTTAGGTCCGAGATCGCCTGCCTTGGCGATCTGGGCTACCCGGATCGGCCGGTAGTTGTATATTATAATACAGTAAATTCAACATTTTAAATTTAAAACCATGTGCAGATTTTCTCCACCCCTCTGGACAACGTGAAAGGGAGGCCCTTAGTTCCGAGGTGTGAGGATAGTGGCGCGGTGTGGAGATAGTGGTGCGGTGTGGGGATAGTGGTGCGGTGTGGGGATAGTGGCGAGGTGTGGGGATAGTGGATGACGTGGCAGAGGGTGTTGTGGGGAGATAAGTGCGCAGAGGTGTGGGGGGGATAGATAGTCGACGAGGTGGGTTGTGGGAGCTAGGGCCATTGAATGGCGAGATTGGGTGTGAGGATATAGCTGGCGAGTGGCGAGCGTGTGTAGGAGATAAGTGAGGCGCGAGGTAGTTGAGAGATAGGATTGAGTCGCAATGGGTGAGTCATTAGGAGTGATGCGAGGAGGTTTGCCAGTGGAGGAGTGAGAGGTTGGAGCTGATGGGGCGTAGTGAGGATGGATGAGCGGAGTGGACGATGCGAGGGTGTGGATGAGTGGCAGTAATCAGGGTGTAGGGTGTATTGTGAGATGGATGGCATGTGGGCTGAGTGGGTAGGTATTAGTAGTGCGAGGTGGTCAAGTGGAGTGATGATTTGGGTATTGGCGTGGGCGAGTGTAGTTATTAGTGTGAGTGCGACGGTTTGGTGCGAAGGGATGTTGAGTAGCTGATGGGCTGAGGAGGACGGTGTAGGGATAAAATGTGCGAGGTTGTTGAGGATGAGGATAGAGTTGCGAGAGGTTGGTGAGGATGATAAGTGGCGAGTTGGCGAGGTGTGTGAGAGGATTGATATTGAGCTGGCAGGTTTTTGAGCATAGTAGGCGAGGGATAAGTGGCGAGGTATGGTAGGAAGTGATAGAGGTGGCGACAGTGGTTGTGAGGAGGATTGAATATGGCGATGCGAGATGTGTGTATATGAGGAATTGCTGAGCGAGGTGGGGATTTAGGCGAGATGGGGAAGGAAAAGTTGCCGACGAATGTGAGGTGATAGTGCAAAAGTGGCGAAGTTGCAGATAGTTGGGCGGATGAGGATGATTGGCGTAGGTTGGATAGAAGTGGACTGGCAGATGTGGTTAGGTGAGAGTAGTGCGAGGGATTGCGAGTTGGGGATAGTGGCGAGGTGGGATGTTGCGAATGCTGAGCGATATGGGGGGCGAGGATTGTATAGATATGGCGACGGGTATGGGGATAGTGGCGCAGTTGTGGGGATGAATAGTGGCGCGAGGGTGTGGTGGAATAGTGAAGCCGAGAGTGTGGGGATATGGCGAGGGGTGTGGATGAGTAGTTCGAGGCGAGGTGTGGTGTGGGGAATAGAGGCGATCGAGGGGTGTGTTGGGGATCATAGATTCGAGCTGTGTGAGGGATTAGTGGATGCGAGAGTGGCGAGGTTTGTGGGGAGAGGATAGTGGCGAGTAGGGGCGAGCGTGTGGGGGGATGATCTCCATATGGCGGATAGTGGCGAGTGGGGATAAGTTCAGAGTGTGGGGATAGTGGCGAGTGTGTGGATAGTGGCAGTGTGAGGATTGTGGCGAGTGATAGTGCAGTGTGAGGAATATGGCAGGTGTAGGAATATGCGAGTGTGAGGGGGGGTCGATAGTGCTGAGTTGGGATCTGTTCGAGTGGTGCGGGATTGCAGTGTGGATATCGAGTTAGGATTTGCGATGTTAGATGTGCGAGGGTGAGATATTGCGAGGTTGAGGATTTGTGGCGAGTTGAGATTTGCGATGTTGAGGATTTGCGAGGTGTGAGGATTTGGGAGTGTGAATTGTGGCGAGGTTTAGGATTGGCGTATTGAATATTGCGAGGTAGGATTGTGGCGATTGAGGATTGTGGCGAGTGGAGGATTGTGCGAGTGTGAGTTGCGAGTTAGAGTGTGCAGGGTGTGAGATGTGGCGAGGTGTAGGATTGTTGGGTGGCCCCGGGAGGTTGGAGCATTTGCAGTTTGAGGATGTCGAGTTGGATGTGCGAGTGGGATAGTGGCTAGCGTGAGTGATACTGAGCATCGGAGATAAGGCAACACTCAACGCATCCATCCAACCAAGCGAGAGGCCCGCGGCTGGCGGCGGCGGCGGAGGCGGGGGTGGCGGCTGGCCTCACGCGCGCGCCTCGTGTGCTCCGCAGGGCCTGGTGGGCTTCTACAAGGGCATCACGGCCTCCTACTTCGGCATCTCGGAGACGGTGGTGCACTTCGTCATCTACGAGGCGATCAAGGCGCGGCTGGCCGCGCGGCGCGCGCAGGCGGCGGCGGCGGCCGGCGGCGACGGCAAGCCTCTCGACAAGACGTCCCGCGACTTCGTCGAGTTTATGCTGGCCGGTGCCGTCTCCAAGACGGTCGCCTCCTGCATCGCCTACCCGCACGGTGAGTGCGACAAACGTTTTGGATTTAATTCGACGCTCTTATTATTATTTTTTTTTTGTTATTTTTTTTTCTTCTCGAGTTAAAAAACTAAAATTATGAACAGCCTCAATAATTTTCTTCACCATGGGTAAATTAGTAACAATCCGTTTCCTTTACTTTAGATTTCGTGAGCTCGTAGCAATTCCCATTTTATGTGGGTGGTCGTTTCTGACTAGACTACTCTCCAATCGATGGGCAGTTTATGCAACATTACGCAAAGGGTGTATGTCAGATGAATAGCAAATAAACATTGGTTATTCAGGGATTTACGATTTCTATGGCGTGTATCAAGTTGTTGCCCATACGTCTTTCTCTTCTTTTAAATTAAATTTTTAATTTCATCTTTTCACGATTTCAACTTTTGTCTTTTCAACAAAATTGTAATCATATTTTGCTCTTTAACGTCGTGTGTAAAATGTGTAAAGTATGTAGCCTGCTAATTTAATGGTATATTCGTGCTGTAACAATGAAAATACAATTTTTTGTGCTCGAACGCTTCGTTTACAAACAAAAAACAGAAAATTGGTTATTTCAATAATCAGTGCTATTTTCAGCGGCTGTTAGTAACAGGTTAAGCTGAATATGAAAAAAACAAACGGATCAGCTTAAAAGCGATTATTTTCGTAATAATCGCTCGCGGGGTGTGTGGCTTCGCGCAGGGGCGCTCCCGGTTGGTCGCCAGCGGGAACACGTTGCCACACGTCTGCGTGCTTGGTGGCAGTTAAAGTTGCGAGCTTCTTCGGGTGGTACACACGCGACCTATCGACCCAATCGCTTCCTTCCGTAACAGCGGCGATAAAGAGCGAACGTTTCTTTTTCATCCTCTTTTACTTCTCGTCTTCGCACTCTTTTACTTCTCGTCTTCGCACTCTTTTACTTCTCGTCTTCGCACTCTTTTACTTCTCGTCTTCTCATCTTTTCTTCCGATCATATTACTTTTTCTCTTTCTTTCTTTGTTTTCGTCACTACGGACGGGAGGTTGCGGTTTTTGTGCACTAGTGTGTGAATTACTGGTGCATTCACGTCAATTTTAAAATGTTCTTTACAAATCGCGAGTGAATGAGTATTTAGTGTTTCCAACGCGATACCTACTTACTCTTCCGTGCATCTTGCATTCCGGTTCTTCCGCACCGAAACATAACAACCGCTACCGACCTAAACGTTTGCCGGAGGGTTTCCCTCCCGAGGTATCACCCCCAGCGGGACACATACGTCGTAGTGTAGTGTACGTGTGAGACATCTCTAGGAGAGAGAACTAGAAAATGGAAGAACATTGCGATATGCAGCTGTGAACTGCACACTGGATCAATAGCGCCTTTCGCATTCACACTGGGTAGTTGCAGCACTGCGGGCGTTCGTTTATACAGCGTTCGCGAGGTTTCTCGTAAAACCCCAAAAGTATTTGGATTTCGTTTATTTGAGGATAGGACGCTGGCGCTGGGAAATACTTCTCGCGTTATCTAATATTGTTGCAAAAAGTATATTTACGAAGTTATTTACATTACCCAAAATATAGTACGTACAAACGTTTGTACTTACTAGTAGATAGTATGATAATATGAAAGTAGATGTTATGAAACACAGAATTTACAAGATATTCACAGTGGCGGCAGGTCACATTTAATATTGTTGAAAAGAAATAGATTTTGTATTATGGTTCAAATTGAAGCCATTGTTACCGAATGAAGACTCCAATCGTTATTTCGGGTATTAAATTTGTCACCTACTAGCAATAATGAAGTGCATTGTGCTAAAGTTTATTTATTAGGATTAATCTCTAAGCAATTCCTTCGGATATGTGGGTCGTGTCAAGTTAAACCGGGTTAACCCGACGATACGCACTGCCAGAACATGTGCCTTGGCGAAATTTGTGGCAAACAGGTTTACATTATCAGAATTGCTCGTATCCTGCATATTACAGTTATGTTTCAGTAATCTAAATTATTGGTGTCACGTGCAAAAAATTAAATTATTACACCCACTGCGCATTTTTGCATCGTCAAAAATGAAATGCTATCTAAATTTCCTCTCAATAATTCAACGGAATTAATTGTTTCTCTTTTCACCAGTGATCATCAAGATTATATTTATTATTCACATTGTTGATAAACTGGTGATTTTTCCATTACTGAATGTGAGTAGGTGATTTCTTACAGCGATTCGATTTCTAGGAATGTATCGTGAACTAAAATAAATGAGCATATTTTATTGTATTGGTTTTTCATCTTAATAAACAGTCTGTATTTTTTATAACAATTTATTTGTTGTACAATGACGTTTTGACCCTATTGAGGGTCGTTTTCAAACAAAATATAATAAATATAATCTTAAGTACACTCGAATGATGGAGAATTATCCAGAAAATTGTTGAATTCTTAATGCATCTATTTATTTGATACGTTACCATTTACCAAATTACAGACTGTTTATTAAAGCCAAAAACCATTACAATAAAATAAACATACACGCCAAAATATTCAATGTAAATTAACATATTGTCAGGGCGAAATATCCAATCGTTTCATAATGACAAGAGCACAGACGTCGTTCAGGATTTAGAAGGTATGACTAGCACTAAAGTGCAATACAAAATAAATTATAAATAGCCGGTGGCGTGGGGCAAAAATAATTGGTTAATGAAATCGGAGCCAAGGCGCCGAAAGCCGAGACTCCTTGAAGTAACCGCTGCCCCGGGCGGCGGGGCTCGTGCGTCACGACGCACCCCCACCCCCTCCCCCATCCCCACCCGTCCCTTGCGTTCCTCCCCCTCGCCTCGCACGCGTGGCTTTCGGGCGTCGGGCGCCGCGCCGCGCCGCCGCGGCGCGGCTGAGCGCCCGTGGCCCGCCGCCATTCTGCATACGACAGCCTTCCCCAGGGATGTTGAAAGCACTGCCTCGCTCACAATCTCGAATTTCCCCTCCCCCCCACCCCCCCAACCCTTCGCTCAATCGCCAACCGCCCTTCGCTGGCCGTTCGTCTTGACCAGAGTCACGCGCGGAATTGGTGGGTGAGCGACTCGTGATGTGTTTCACTTGTCACCTTATGCGGCCACGTATCGTTTCCTTACGTGACTGCTGAGGTACACCCGTTAGATGTAATACATTTTTAAATCTCCAAAAGAATTCACATGATCGCTTCATAAGACCACATTATACTTAGTATTTACCATATTTATTATCACAATTTTACACTATATTACACTCTTGACCAACTTTATATTATTAAAATTCATAACAGTTTTGGCATAGGTTAGTTCAACAATATTTTTATTTCTGAAATATTTGGTGCATCGTCTGGACTTATTTTTATTTACGAAACATCTTTCTTTCAAAGTTGTGAGTTACGTAGTTTTCGTTTAATAAAACTCTAATGTGGGCAAAAGTGCCGCATGCGACTCGCCAGACACTGTTTGGTCACTCCTGATGTAAGCGATACGCGCCCGTATAATCGCACAGTATGTTAATAATGTTTGTTTGCCGGCGTACGCAGTGATATATCTCGCTTGTTTCGTCACTCTAGACGATTCATACTGTGCCTATTTATGGACTTATTGGACATTGTTCTTTCGTGTGAGTATTACTGAGCGTTAAAAGGCATTACCCTATTGAAAATGGATGAATTGCAAGCGACGCTGACTTTTACCATTTATTTAGCTTTGTCTTCGACTAGTTGTTGGGTTTCCCAGAAAAGGTTTCCCTTCTAGGCAAATAATTTTGCATCATTACGCCTTTTGTCAGCGTACAGATAATGATACACAGGAGGACGTGCCAGTTTATCTGAGGTCTGTGAGGATCTTTTAAGATTCTCGTGTGTCACATAGGTCGGGGATTGGAGAAGCTAGATCGCATACCAGAAACTTCCAGCTTCTCGTAAGTTGTTGCTAAAGCGATGGCCTTGTCCGCCAACAGGATTCGAGGAAAATTGAATCTGGGAATTTTCCGTCACCTGCGATTAATGACGTTCAGGACTTCTTATTAACACAAATATTGCAATTTCTGCAATTTAGGGCATCGTGTGGCCAATGCTGCGTAAGTAATTGGAAACAGGTTCTGGAATGTTCGGTTGTGCTTGCTTTATTTTAAAATTAGATGAAAACATTGTTCAATTTAAAAATATTCTCTCGCGCACGTATTGTGTATACTCTTTTTAATGTTGTTTCGTGCACGCTTTGTAAAATTTTGTATATTATTAGTTCGATTAAATAAAAGTTGCTGTTTCACTTACGGAAAACTAGCACAAAAAACGTTTCGCGCACGGCGTATTCTCTCGTTCACTTACAAATGCTAAATTTATGTCCGAAAGACAATTTTGTAATATTGTTTCATGTAGAAATAAAGTAATTGAATTTGAACATGAATGTTATTTTCGGTTCCGGCCAACGGATGCTTATTTTGACACGTTTTTAAATTGTTGAGAAACGCTGAAGACCGCATCACTCCCTGAAATGTATTCTTCCGGTAGCCAGGTGAGCTTTAATTCTAACAAGGTAAATAATGATTTTATGGGAATATTCCTGGATTTGCAGAGTGGCGTAAAAATAGGGAATTCATGAGACCCAGCACAAGTTAGGCATCTTTCGAGAAATGAATGGGAATCATTTCTAATATTAATTACCGACGACGTCTCCACCCGGTATGAGTTAGTAGAAATGATTGAAAAAATAATTATTCACGATTCTACCGAGTATGTGTAATTCTGGTTTGATAATATTTCTATATTAAACTAACTAGTGATAAATTATCGGGCTGATTAGAATAGAAAACCAGGAAAGATTTTAATAATACTTTTCATTCAGTACAATTTGAATGACAAACTCGAAAATTGGAGTTTTGAATAGCGAATCATTTCAGGATAAGGGAATTCAAATGTCACTTCTACAATAAATCGGGTACTGACAAATGTTACACTCATTCTGTATTAAAAATTGTGAAACATAGCATGCGACTAATTCTAAAGGGTGA